GAAATCACTCGAACCACTTGTAAACCATCCTCATGGTCACTGCACCACCACCATATATTAATTTTAACATATTGTGTGTTTCTTTAGCACTTTTTTGCAGTTTGAAACAAAATTTCATGTGAATGCATTGTTCGTGATTCATGATTTATGGCATACTTTAAAACACACCTTCTTTCAACCATAGCTCACACTCAGCTGACTGCACCGAAAAAAATGAAACTTGTCACACACTGTTACTAAGGTTTGATGCAGTGCTTCCAGTATTGAAGTTCCCTGCCTTTTTGCTGGATGGCACTTGGCAGCAGCATTCACCATAGTTTTTTATCATACCTTGTACTTGATCACACCTCGTACATGCACCCCTATGCTCACTGCAGCACTATTTACAATAACCAAGATATGCAAGCAACCCGTGCCTGTCAATAGACAACTGGATAAAGATGATGTGGTACATATATATAATAAAATATTACTCGGCCATGAAAAAAAAAATCTTACCATTTGCGATAACATGGATAGACCTAGAGAGTATTATGCTAAGTGAAATAAGTCAGACTGAGAAAGACAGACACCATATGATCTCACTTATATGTGGAATCTAAAGAACAAAATAAATGAACAAACAAAACAAATATATCTCCTCTGCTATGCATTACTGGTCTAGCGACTTTGAGCTGTGAGGCTGGTAGTCAGTGATGTCTCTGAACCCCATTTTCCCTATTGTACAATGGAGACAGAATTGCTTCTCTTCTATGGGCTGCTTAAGAACAACCTGGAAAAAAAACTTGGCCTGCTGCTTGGCAGGTATCATACGCTAAATGAATGTTGACTATCGTGAAAATTGCCATCCCTACCCCCAAAATCAAGGCGGGCCTGGAGTCGAGATGGGGGTAGGAGAGTCAATCCAGCAGTGAATGAGCAGGAGTCTGACCCAAACCACAGAGGGCCCAAGGTCACCCTCGGACCTGGGAAAACTCCAGGCCCAGTACGGAGGCACCCTCTCGACACTGGCCCCCACTCACCGTGCAGGTAGCATGGGAGGACTGTTCCGAGGCCACTCGCAGCCCGTTGTCCAGCAGGCTGACCTGCGTCTCTGGCACGTTCTGGAGGGCCTGGGCGAAGGTGGCGGTGCCCCGCAAGGCAGGCGACTTCAGCAGGGCCGGCTGCTGGAACGAGGCGGCTGGGACTGAGGACTGGGTTAGGGGACGGCTCTTCAGCTCCCAAGCCTGCAGGGGGATCCCCGTCCCCGCCCCCAGGCCAGCCGAAAGGCTCCCATTCCCGCCCGGGGCCGTGACCTTCCCACGGCTCTGACCCCGTGACCTCCCCAATCTCAGCCCGTCGCCCCTAACAGCCCATTTCCTGTCCGCGTCCCGAAGCCCCACGTCCCATAACCTTGCGCTCTCGCTGCCACCTCACCGAGCGGCGAGTACGCAGGAGCACTCGCGTCCCCGCGTTAGCCACCCGGCAAACCACGGAAGCCGCCATCTTCTAGTCCAGTCGGCCCTGGGCCGCGCTACGCATGCGTAGAGTGGACGCGGCGGCGCCCGAGGCGCAGGCGCAGTACCGTAGCCTTGGCGCTCGGCTGCCCCCTGGCGGAGGCTGAGGATATTCACTCCTGACTGGTGGGTGGTTCTGTCCTCGCATCCACAGGTACCTGCGCCTATCAATCCACCTAGCTCCCTATTGGCCCGCGCGGGTCTGTCCGAGGTCCAGTCCATCGTCCCCTTTCACCAGTAGGAGGCAGAGCGAGCGATATTTCTCACGATCCGCGGGTGCCTCGGTTCCACTGCGTGCCCAGAGCGACCTGGGGGTCGGGGGACGCATCCTGGGGCTAAGGCACCAGCGGGCAGTCTTGGGGCTAAGAGGCAGCTGCTGAAAGTCACGGTTTTCTCTTTAAAAGAATGAAGTTAATTCAGACGGTTGACATGGAAGGAATTGAACAATATATTGCTAAGAAAAAAAGGAGCAGTTGAGACTAATTTTTGAAAAGGATTCCTTGTTTGGAAAACAAAACACACAAGCAACAAGACCTGAGTCTTTTCTCATAGTTTGCAAAAAACACGTTCCCCATTTTTTTCTGAACCCTAACACTGGCATCATTCTTAAAGTTCAGGTTTCTGCTAACGGTGGAAGGTATAGGGGAGAAATTCCCCTTTCTCTACTCTGATTCTTTGGGCTGGCCGATAAATCCACAAGAGACAGATTGGCAAGAGAAAATCAAGTTCAATTTTGTGTGTACAGGAACCCCACATACATGAGTCAGAGATTCTAGGTACATGAGCGGTTCAGAGACAGAAAGGGAAAATGGGTGTATAAGGCATTCTGAGCTAGGGATGAGTAATGCACCTTGAGGCTTCAGAAGGTCGTTGCAGGGAGAGACAGTGCAGTAATTAGTAGTTTGCCCTGCCACATAGATAAGTCGACAAAAGTTATCTCTGATAATCTCTTATTATGGGCAAGGCTCCTCATTCAAATTCCTGTAGATAATTGTGGAAGAGGGGTGCAAAAGTTTCTCTTGAGCCCACGGGGCCTCAGTTGCCTTTAACTCAAAATGATCCACATACCACTGAGGCATGTCTTGGGTGGCTCATTCTGAATCCACACAAAGGCAATTTGGGCTTTTTCTGTTATGCTCCTTGACATTCTTCCAGCCTTTGCTCACTGCTCAATTCCAGAGCTATTTTCACATGTAAAAAAATTTTTACAGCAGTACCTCACTCTTGATACCAGCATCTGTATGTTTTCTATTGCTGCCATAACAAATTACCACAGACTTAATGGCTTAGAACAACAAATTTATTATCTCACAGTTCTGTAGGCCCGAAGTCCAACGTGGATCTCACTGGGCTAAAATCAAGGCATCAATAGGCCTGTGTTCCTTTCTGGAGGCTCTAAGGGAGAATGTGTCCTTGGTCATTCAGGCTGTTTGCAGAATTTAGATCCCAGTGGTTTGTGGAACCGAGGTTCCTGTTTTCTTGCTGGCTGTTACCTGAGGTCATATCACCAGCTTCTAGAGGCCACCTGAATTCTTTGGATCTTTCCACCACCTTCAAGGCTAGCAGCAGAGGACCAAGTACCTCTTACACTTTGAATCTTGGGCTCCTTTTCTGCCTTTAAGGGTTCATGTGATTATTTTGGGCCTACCAAAATAATCCAGAATAATCTCCCTAAATTCTTTAACCTTAATTCCATCTGCAGAGTTCTTTTTGTCATGTACTGTAACATAGCTACAGATTCCACACCGTCCCCAGGAGGCACCAATTCCTGCCCGTGGGAGCACCCAGCCTGCTCCTTCGTGCTCTCCAGAGCTCCTTCTTGCCCCTGAAATCCCGGACACTTTATAGACCCTGGAACAGGAGGTCTTTTCCCTTACCAGACCCTTGTATGTGCTTGTCCTCCTGACGGGAGCACTCTCCCTTTTCTCTCATCACCCCACATTCATCCTTCAGGTCCCAGCAATCAGCCCATACCTGCCCCACTCTGATTGTGCCAGCATACCTCTCTGCAGAGTAATTGCCTTCTTGAGTCTGTTTCACCACCATCACCACCACCCTCCCCCATTTGTGAGTGGGTGAGGGAGGAGCCGGTAGTGTTCTGCACATCAGCAGATCCCGGCATCCACAATAGGGCTAGCAAACAGTAGGTGCTCATTAAACCTTGTATAGAAGTGGGCCTAACCAGAGGCTGATGAAGTTCAGCCTTCAATGCCCTTTACTTCCTTGCTTTGAGAGGAGCCCCAGTAGTGTGTCCATAGGGTCAAGTATTTTTGGAAAACTTGCAAAATTAAGACAATCTAACTGCGTTCAATTAGGATATGTGTCTTTTTCCAACTCGGATACTCCTCCATCCCACTTCTCTTTATGTGGGAGACATTGGAGAAGCTGTGACATTTTTGGGGTCCAGCCAAGTGGAAGGTGAGTTGGGGATTGTCCCAGATTGGGCTTACGGGGGAGCAAACTCCAAGAGGGAGATCCGGGTGTTTACCAGGGATCCCTTTAAGATCGGCATCTGAGGGAGGGAGGAAACCAGCTGTGATGGGGCCCTCCGCAGCTGAGGCAGACCCGTTCTCCAACTGCCTTTTCAAGGCCCAGAAACAGCAGGCTTTCCTTGAAGTTGTGGGCAGCCCATCCCCAATGCAAACCAAGGGACACACTTGGTTTGTGTTCAGAGGGACATATTTCTGTGGTTTGCTCCACTCCTGTGTATGGTTAGCTCATTGTTTCTGTCCTGGTGTTGGATGGCTTCCAGGAACCTCTTGCTGGGTCAGCACTCCTGGTCAGGACAAATGTGCAAGGTCCTGTTGCATTTAGAACCTACCCCACAGTGCCCAATGCTAGAAAAAACGTGGGCCAGGGAGGGAAAGCAAGGTTTGAAATGTGTGGTGCCAGAATCCCACCTGTGGCAAATTCTCCCAAATCATGCAGCATGTATATGAAAGAAAGTTGATGACAGTTTCTCAAAATTGAAAACAATCCATATCATTTATGTGACACCATCAATAACAAATTGAGAGAAATAGGAAACAAATTTTCTGAACTATCCATAATTAAAACACAAATTTCAATCAACCATGTTAAAAGGAAGACTGAATTATCTTTCTATTTTCTGTATGGAACATATTTCTCTCTAATGACAGAATCCTGACCGTACAGAGAGGCCATCAGCGAACAGTCAGGAAATGTAGGGGGAAAAGTATTCCAGAAATGTATCAAGAAGTCACCATAAATGTTATTGTTCTGGAGTTTGCATTGTAGTGTTTGTGAACCTTATAACATTTGTAATTTGTCATTTTTCATTAATTCACTTGTTTCTATTTTTGAATTCATAATGTTATATGGTTTTTATAAAACAGAAACCCTAAAAATGCACAGGACTCAGTACCCACTCAACCTATGGCAGAAGGAAGAAGAGGGTGAGGTTCAGCCCTCATTCCACTTCCGGGGACCTTGAACCAAGGGCCACTCGGGCACCAGAGCACATGTTTTGAGACACCACAAAGATGAAGGCAGCCGGGGCTCACCCTCCAGCCCCCACCCCCAACCCGACTTTGCCAGGTAGTCACTACTGAGCAGCCCTCCCTGGAAGCCTGACCTGATGGTCAAGTATTCTGCCACCACACTGGGGACCCCTGAGGAGCCTCAGAAGAGCAGTTGTATTTGTGGGTGGGACCTTAGGGAGGAGGGGTTAGTTGGTGGGGGGCAATGGAGCTGTGCGAGCCAGCTTGGGCCCCAACCGCCCACCTATCTTGGGCGCTGAGGCCTCAACAGGTCTGTTGGCTCTTAAAGTAGAAAGCGGGTCCAGGGTCCAGGCTGGCCCAGAGTCTCAGGCCAGCCTCACCCCGGCTGGCCGCCAAGAAGAGAGAGGCATATGTTGGGTCACCCACTGTGGGTGGGAGTCCCCTTTATTTGCATTGGCTGCTGGGTGGCTAGATGCTGCAGGTGGCCCTCGATCTGGACGAGGAGGGCATCCAGCATGTGCAGGACCCCAACGAGTAGGGTTCGGTCTGAGATCAGGGTCTGCCGCTTCCAGGGTCCCGAAGGGCCAGTGGTTACCTTCAGATGCTGAGGATAGGACCAAGAAGCAGGAGTGATAGCGGAGGGATGGGACGGAAGTGTGATAAGGGAGAAGGGCCTGGGAAGGGGGACTTAGGGCAATGAAGGGTCTACTGTGGACTAGAGTGGTCATGGGGCCCATGGGGGCTGGATGAGGAATGGGGATATTAAAGGGAGATGGATGGGGACAGGGGACAGGCTATGAGGAATGGCCAGGGGCTGACGGGTGTGGTCAGATGTAGGGACCTTGGGGAAGGGCAGCAGGAGGCCCAAAGGACGTGGGTAGGAGGATGAGTGGGCCATGGGGGTGGGTTGGTGGGAGGATATGAGTTCACTGCGTGTAAATGGAGGTAGGGGGCAGTGAGGGACAGAGCAGTGCTGTGCTCACCTCGCTCTTAGTGGCCTGTGAACGCCTCCACTGCAGCATCTTACGGCTCAGCAGCAGCAGCATGGTAGTGGTGAGTGTGACCCCAGCCACAGGGTAGATGCGGTTCCCCGCCAGGCCCATCCAGTGGCCAGGACAGCCCAGGCTAGCCCTGCAACCCTCCAGGCTGTTTGGCTGGCACCCCCAGGGCTGTAAGTCCAGCCCCACCTGGTACCACAGTGGCCGTGACCAGGCATAGGTTGGGGAAGGCATCGCCAGCGGGAGCAGCAAAAGCAGGAAGGATGTTGCATACAGCATGTCTGCCCAAGTGCCAGCCGGAACCTGGGTGCCTAGCAACAGGCAACACAACCCCTCCCCCAGAGGCAGCAGGTTCCAGCTGGGCCCATGACCTTTCATGAGGTGCACCCTGGCCAGAAAATGTAGTGGGGGGTGGGAGTATGGATACAGTTCCAGGCCTGGGAGGATGGCATGGCAGGCTCGGGGCCTAGGACTGAAAGAATACCTCCTCCCCACCCCAGCCTCTGCACCTAACATCCAACCCCTAAAATTCTATCCCCACCGCCTCTAATGCTGCTGTCTAGCTCAGAGCTGCTCAGTGGTCCCCTACAGTCAGCATCACAGCAGAGTGAATGCTGAAAAATGTGGGGTCCCTCACTCTCTGAATAAAGCCCAAGGGCCCATCCTGGCCTGTGAGGACTGGGTGCTTCTGTCTTCCCTCCCGCGGCCTCTGTGATCCTGAACACACCCGAGTTCCCTACACCAGGAGCACCGTCCTTGACTCCTGGAAAGGCACTTCTCATGGCTGGAGTTTCTGTTCAAAGGCTCCCTGCTCCCTGAACCTCCCTCCCGTGACCATCTTGGGCGACACAGTCCCTCCTCTCGTGTGACGCTGTTTCTTTTCCTCAAAGCATTTCTAAGTAGCTGCAACTTCTTGTCTGAGGTCTGCCCTCTACTCCAGCACACAAGTTTCACTCAACCAATATTTACCAAGCACTGCCACATGCCAGGCACCGGTCCTGGTGCTGGGACATGGGGTGACAGAGTAGACACAAAGCCCTGCCTTCCGGGGCTGCCTTCCTGGTTCTAGGGGTGAGGAGAGGACAGGTGAGTGGCGAACAGAGCGCAGGGCACTGATACACACTGAGACAGAAACAGGGCTGGGTAAGGGTGGCTCAGTGACTTGGAGGGTGGGGCAGCACCCATCCGTCCACTTACTCACCACTGTTCCAAGCATTCTGTGGTATTTCCTCATTGAATGCTCATTGAGTAACCCAGGAGGCGGGTACTATTACCATTCCTGCTCTATTGATGAGAAGACACCAAGGCCCAGGAAGGTTCTAGTGTCCCTCATTCAAAAAGGCCCTAGTCTTTTCTGTCAAAGACAACAAAGTTTAAAAATATACTTCCTCTTTCTCACTATTGTGTAGTGGTTTTAGTTAAAAATGTACTTTCTCACCATTGTGTAGTAATTCCTCATTTTCAAGCTTATCTAATCTTGTAACTAGGCAGATCTTGCTTTTCTATTAGCCAATCGGTTTAGATTGTAAGGTCACGCTCTTGCCAATAGAGCATGACATAGTGGAACCCGCGTTAGGGATAAAAACTGAGTGGACTTCCCACTCAGTGTGCTTGCTAGACTGGCTTTCAGTGGCTCCGCATCCTTCTGCAGAAGTAAAGTTTGCCTTGCCGAGTTACTTTCGACTTCATGTGTCTTTATTTGCAACACTGCTAAAATCTGTTCCCAACACCCCACCCCCATACCTCAATCACTCAGAGTATCAGCTGGCCTGAAGGCCCGCTGCTGCCCACTGGGCCACATGCCCTGATGTTGACATTTTATGGCAAAAATCAGCACATACTTCGTGGCTGACTGACTGGCAAAGCTGAGGTGATCTAACTATACAAAGAGGCATTCTCTGAAGTAAATCAGTCATGCGCCTTCTTACTTCTAAATGCAGACCAGCAGTCCCTGTAAACACCTGCACGTCCTCAGCTGGCTAATTCAGGTATTCACGCTACACTCTCCAGGGGCTGCCCAGTGGCACCTGGCCTGCCCTGGCCCTTATCGGGTGTCCCCGAGAACAGATCATTCCTGAAAAGCAGCTCTGATTCCAACTATTTCACCACCAAGAATAGGTGCCGAGGGCTGTGTGTGGCTGGGGACAAACTTGAACCTGGGTGCTCCCGCCTGGGCCTGGTCCCAAGCTCTCCTTCCTGCTCTATACTCTCCTTGCCTGACCCTGCCCTCTCCAAGCCTTCCGTCCCTGCCCCAACCTTGCCGACTTCCGACTCCAGTTCTCACTTGGGGCATAAGAAGGGCCAGGGGCCAGGGCTGTAGACACCCCAGCCACCACCAAGCCACAGCAGAGCCTGGTGTTGGCAAATGAGTCTTTATTCCTGAGGATGAAAACACGCGTGTTCCCCGGGCCTGGCCGGTGCCCCATCCCAGGCCTGGAGCACTGCACTTGGAGTCTCAGGACCTCCATCCCTGAGTTGTGTGTGTGTGCGTGTGTGTACCGAGGGGACTCCTGGGTGTCATCTGGAGGCGGCGCAGGAGTGGGCTCTCATGGGTGCCCCGTCACAACCTCCAGAGGTGGGCAGTCTCAGACAGTGTGGCAGCATGGTCAGAGTTTGGTAACCTGAGCAGGCAGACGAAAGGAGGCTCCCGTCAGTTACCAAAGGGTACATATCAGCCTTCCCCTGGGGCAGCAGCTGCTGCCTCAGGAGAACCTTCATCGAAAAGCAGGAGGGGAAGGCAGTGAGTCCACGGGGGTCAGAGGCATCCAGGAAGAGTGGGGACTTCCTGGAGCTGGGGTCAGGGTGGGGACTAGCAGCAGGTAAATAAAAAGAGCTCAGTGGGCCAGAGCTCATCTCACCAAAACAGGGCTGACTTGATTGGACCTTGGGTGTTGGAGGGCAAAGATGACAGCGTCGTGGACAGAGGCAAAGAGGTGCTGCTTAGTGATGGATGCATCGAAGAACTGCCCAGCCTCAAGCTGGGCGACCACAGGAGCTGTCAGCAAGAGGTAGGGAACCCCTGACTTGAAGAACCACCAGGAACCCCAGCCCCACTCAGTAGGAGAGTGCCCTGACCCATACCACCCTGACTTCCCCCTCCTAAAGCTACAGCTAAACCCTCAGTCGCTCTTGACTCTTGTCCCCTGCCTCCCAGGAGACCTCTGACCTCCAGTTTCAGAAAAAAACTTTTTCCTTGTGTTGCCTGGCAGAGCCCCACCCTTTTCCCTGCCCCCACTCCCACGCACTGTGGCAGGCAGCCATGTACACCTCCACCTCGATCTCCTGGAAGTCCCGGAAAATCTGCAGCAGAAAAGGGGACCAGATTCAGAGGGGGGCTCAGGGGTTCTGAGGGGGGACTCAGGCAGATGGCGGGGAGGAGGGAGCTTAGAGGGGAAGCTCAGAGGGTTTGGGGGTCAGAAGGCTTAGAGGGCTCTTAGAGCTACTGTGAGGTCAAGGTAGGGGCTCAAGGGGTCTTGTCCTCCCTCAGGGCCTTTCTAGGGGCGCCCCCAGCCCCTTACATTCTTCAGGCTCTTGAGGCACACAGTGTCCATGAAGGAGAGGGCACCCATGTCCAGGATGAGGCTGTGGAAGTCGGGCTGAGGCAGGCCCAGGGCCTTCAGTGTGGACGCGTCTGGGGCCTTGGCATCTTCTTGACCATTGGCTGCTGCATCCTCTAGCTTACTCTCTGTGCTCGCCTGCTGGGGAAGCAGACCCACTACAAGCGTTGCCCACGAGGGGGTGAAGGCAGGGAACATGCAGACACACAGGGACACATAGGGTCAGACGTGGCGCAAGCATGTAAACACACACATATAGGGGGCATGCAGGGGACACAGGAGGATGTGGACATGGGGAACCTCCTGCATGCAGACAGGAGGGACACATGGAAATACACAGGCGAGAACACACAGACTCGTATATACTGCTATTATCTCCTGGGCAAGGCTTAATAAGGACACTTAAGAAGGGAGGGTGCTGGAAGACCGTGCCCCATCCTCAGTCAGCCAAGGTAGACTGGGTGGGGGGGCCAAGGGGCAGACCAGGAGAGACGCACACACGTGCACACACTGACACTTCAGCACCCCGCCTGGGTCTCTAATTGAGCTTGGCATCCCCTTTGAGCCTACATTTTCCCACACACTCACCTAATCCCTTCCCTCTATCCATAAGCACAGACTGTGGGGTCTTATGGACTACAAATTCAAGCTCCTCATCGAGGCCTCAGGTCACAGACAAGAAGCCACAGTCGAATTCGATGGCATATCACTAGAGATTCCTCTACAGAGTGTCTGATCCGTCATCCCATTCCTCCTGCCATTGGCACAACCACCTTGAACCCACAGTGGCAGGTCCATGGCTTTCCTCACAGGAACTGTCTGGGCACCCCAATCTCTGCAGCTTGTGGCTGGCCCCTCCCTCACTGTCAGCCTCACCTTGGCCTTGGAACCCTCCACATTGTTGCTCTCAATGTCTCCGTCACTGGTGTTGACATTGATGGAAACGGAAGTGCACGTGGAGGCAGCAGTCTAGGCCAGGGAAGAGGGGGACAGAAAAGAGTTGTTCCAGTTGCCATATAATAGCCATGCCAGGCAGGCCTGGTGTTGCCCCCCCCCCACCCCCGCCCCAGGTTTGGGGCAGTTAGACGGGCCAAGAACCAAAGCTTGGGACCCAGGGCCAGGCTGAGGCTGCAGGGTTTTGACCAGCTTTCAGAACAGCCATAAACAGAAGAGGACTGTGATGGTTCATGGTGTCAGAGGCTCAGGAGGTGGGAGAAAAACAAAACCCGCCAAGAGCAGACTGCTAAGGGAGTAAAGCAGGGTCCCTGGGGCATCAGGGACAAAGGAGCAGGGGTAATAAAGAAACTCGGCTGGGAGGAAGGCTGGGCGGGGCCAGGAGTCGCTGGCTCAAAGGGCTCCCTGCCTGTTTTTGGAGCTTCTCCTTCTGCAGTCGTTTCAGCTTTAGCTCCTGCTTCCTGAGCAGCTTCTTTTTCCGGGAGATGAGGTAGTCAACATCCACACCACACTAAAGGCAAATGTCAGGGAGGATGTGGGCACTCTGAGGAGGTGAGGGACCCCCTGACACTCGCCCTGGGGACCCCAGGCCTCACCCGCTGCTTCAGCGCGTCGCTGTAGAGCTCGGCATTGGCGAAGCACATGGTGGCTGAGGAGCGGAAGACCTTCACTCCTGGGACCTCCTTGGCCTGGGGATGGGTCAGAGTGGGGGTGGCTGGGCCCTCTCTCCTGGTTGCACCTTGTTCTCCTGCTTTTCCTCCCCTGTGTGCCCCAGTGCCTGCCACCCCTCAACCCTCTGCTCCCCAGTCAGCACGGCAGGACTTGTGGCCGGTGTCATCCTGACTCTGTCCTGCTCCCGCCCTCCGCCCAGGCCCTCAGCCGCCTGTCAGGCTTCACCCAGTGCACCCTACACCTGTTCCTCCTCATCTCCCACTACCCAGGCTAGGTTTCAGTGGCTTTGAGGTCTCTGCTTGGGTCTCTGACCCCAGCCCTGTTTTCTGTATGCTGCATGCAGTCAGAGCCCCTCCTCAGCTGCCATTCCAACTGTGTCTTCCCCAGCTCCCACCCCATTCAGGGCACAGCCCAGGTCTCTGCTCAGCATTCAGGCCTGCCTGTACGGTGTGCCACCCCTGTACCTCCCTTTCCATCCAGCTGAGCTGCTGCCCCTCGTGACCTCCCGTTGCTCTGCCTGATCATACTGTGCTCAGCCTTCAAGACTCCGTGTCAGGGGGATGGGCTTGTTTATTCCAGAGACCCTACCTCTGTTCCAAGTGCTTGGCAAGGAGACCCACGAATGATAGAGATTGAGTGGCTTCATCAGATCAAGAAACAGCCCCCCTGACATCCCGTGCCCCAGGATTCTGCCCCTCCGACATTCCTGACCCAAGGCTGCTAGGCGGGATGGGGCTTGTCCTGCTGGCTCCCAGAGAGAGCCCTTCCCAGGCCCGCAGGTCCATCTCCGTCCACTCTTGCTCTGTCCCTTCCTAACCCCTCATACTCTGAGTTAGGGTCATAGACCCAAATTCCTCCCCTGAAATTCCAAGAACCAAAGTGCCCTTAGCCCCTCATGTTCTTATCAGGCGTGGAAGGGACTGACAAAGGCCCATTCTGCCTCTGACAAAGGCCCATTCTGCCTCTGTCCTACCCCATCCACGCCTTCTTCCTGCTCAGCCCTGCCACTCACCTCTAAGTACTCTGCCACGTCTCTGTAAATATCTGTGTCTGGCACCTGCCCCAGGACAGAATAGTGGGGCCTGTGAAGGAGAGATTGAGCATGGGGAGAGGGGGGCATGAGGAGAGGGGGCAGCGAGGGGGTACTAGGAGCCTAGGGTCACCTGCGAGATGTGAGAAAGCTGGGGGGAGCCAGTGTGGACCTCATCCTTCACCGGCTGGAAGGGGGGGACTGAGAGGGGTGACTCACAGCTGCATACGGACCACCAGTAGCAGCAGGGAGAAGACCACTGCCACTGCCAGGCCCAGGTCCAGGTTCAGGAGGATGGTGGCCACAAAGGTCACTAGCCAGATGAGCTAAACACCACAGGGCAGCAGTCAGCAGGGTCTAGAGGGGCCGCGTGCTGCAGGCCCCTGTTCCCCCGGGAACTCCAAGGCCTCTCACCAGATCCACACGATTTGCCTTCCAGAGGGAGCACACGTCGGCGAACTGCCTCAGCATGCCCTTCAGGTTCACGATGATGGTGGCTGCCAGGACTGCCTGCGGGGGTAGGGGAGTGTTCCCGCGGCTGCCGAAAGGTGCTCACAAGCCTGACCCCCAGCATGAGCCGGGCTGACCCCAAGCCCCTGGGCATAATCCCAAACGACGCACCCACCATCTGCCCCCGAACCTGACAACTTGGATCGCACTCTGCCGGGTTCTAACCCCTGACCCTTGGCTCCAAATCTCACCCCAAAGATCTCGACCTTGAAAAACAGGGCATGACTTTGTGTCCCTGCACTTCACCTGGGACCTGACTGACTGATCTGAGCCCCCTGGCCTGGCTAAGGCCCTCAAACCTGGCTGGGCGGGAATGGGGGCTCACCTTGGGCAGGTCTTGGAAGAGTTCCCCAAGTTTGACGATGATAATGAGGATGAAGAGGGAGGAGATGGCTCCGGCCACCTGCGGAGTGGAGGGTGGGGAACCAGGAGGGTGAGCGTGGGCGGCATGACCCAGAGAAGCAGTATGTGTGCACACAGGGGTGCAGCCCTGCCCACACCTGAAGCCCACCTGTGTGTTTCCCCCGGTGCTCTCCTGTACCAGGCTCCGAGACATGGAGCAGCTCACAGGGAAGCACTGGAAGAAGCCCCCGATGAGGTTACTAAGACCGAGGGCCACCAGCTCCTGTTGAGGAGAGCGCAGGTGTGAGGAGACTTCACTAGCAGGGCCTGCCTGGTCACTTTGCCACTGTGTCTAGGCCTACACGTCGCCACTCAATAACCCGCAAAGACTTGTCTGCTGTCCCAGGTGTCCTGCTCTCCCACCCTCCGTCCCCCACATGGCCCCAGCACACCTGTTTGCTGCCATCTCCCTGTGTCCCACCTGCTACTCCATCCCCCCCCCCAGGCCCTGGGGTCTCTCGAATGCCAGGTTGCCCCCTACATGTCCCACCTCCTGTCCCCCAGACCTGATTGCTGTCCACCCGGTAGCCATGCCTCAGAGCGAAGATCTTCCCCAGCGAGATGGCAATGGCAAAGCCAACCACGGCAATGGTGAAGGCATTTCCCACAAGCTTTGTGAACAGCTGGGGGCTGGGGGCCACTGGGGGTGCCAGCCTGTGAGGGACATTGTGAGACCAAAGGAAGCTGCTGGGCCTGGCTGCCTGCCCTCCCTCCCACCTCCAGGGGCTGGAGCTCACCCTGCAGGGATGTGTCCCACGACATCCACCCCGAATCTGTGCTTTAGGCCCACGCCGTACGAGATGCCTGTGGCCCCAATAAGCTGCGGGGAGAGGACAGGGTCAGAGGAGGGAGGTGCTGGCATCACCGTCGGGGGGGGTGTGTGGAGAAAGCACTCTGGGGGTGAAGGCGGACGGGAGGCCTGAAGCAGAACCTTCAGGCAGGTCGGGGGAAGTTGGCGACAGGGTGAGAAACAGACACCACCATTTGGGAAAAGAGGAGGTGCTGTCAGGGGTGGGAAGATGCCAACATGGGGACTTCTTACTGTGGTCCCCTCACCCCCAGGAACTCTCACCAGTGCCCACTCCACTTAATCTTTAAATACCTGGGGGATGCCCACAGGGGTATAGCCTCACTTGCCCCTCTCCCCTGCCCCCCACCCCCCCAGACTCCTAACCATGAGCAGCTCCCCGGGAAGCGGCAGGGGCAGATGTCGCTGCAGCTTGTCGTTCAACAGCTTCACCAGCACAAGCACCGTCCCTGCCACAACTGCAGTGACCACGGTGCCAACCACACTCTGAGGCAGCTTCCGGCAGACCTCTATCACTGTCTGAGGGGAGGCGGGGTCACAGCCAGCACTCAAGGTCATGGGGCAAACCCCCCATCCCTCCTCCCACCCTCACTCACATAGATGAGGGACAGTGGCCCAGAGGAGCTTCTCAGATGAAGACCAAACACATACTTGAGCTGTGAGACGAAGACCTGCACAGCCGCAGCTGTGGTATAGCCGCGGACCAGAGGCTCTGACAGATAGGTGACCACAAAGCCGAAGTGGACCAGGCCCAGCCCCACCTGTGGGGTGACCAGGGGCAGTCAGGGGATACTAGGGGTGGCTGAGCCTGGGGCAGGTGGGATCAGAGAGGGATGCGATGAGGAAGATGGTGAAGGTCAGACACTCAGGGGAACTGGCAGATGGGGGTTGGAGTGGGTCAGGCAGTGGAGTGGGGGGCACATATTTCTGTCTGCTCCGCACCTGGAAGAGGCCAACCAGGACACTGAGTGTGGAGGCCAACTGTACCCGGGCAGCATCTCTGGCCGCCTCATCGACTGTGGAGTTTGGGAACTGCAGAAAGTCCTCATCTGGGGCCAGGGATTCCGTCACACTGCCCACCATCACGGACATGACAGCAAAAGTTCCTGCAGGGACCAGTCAGGGCATGTCTGAAGGGTAGAGCACACTGCCCTACCCAGAAGTCCTGATCTTAATGGAGAGGCCAGAAGACATTCAGTTTTAGACAAATGTCCTCAGGTTATGCTGTGCAATACAGGCAGTGCTGAGCTCAAGGGCTCCTGAGGGTTGCTAGAGATGTTGGCATCATCTACCTTGCCCCACTGTGTCCACTGGCTCAGGACCTCGTGAAAGGTGGAAGGGGGAATGGGAACGGGGCACAGCCTGCCTCAGGCTCTCAGGCCTATGCCAAGTTCTGGGTCCCTCGAGTTGCTTAACCCACCCACATCCTCCTGCAGATAACCTGAATCTGCAGCCCCTCGCTCAGAGGCCTAGTCCTGTCTGGGGATGACCCTTGGGCCAGTCTCCCAGGGGCCCAGCACCGATGCTGCCCTCTTCCCTAAGTTCCCTTGCCCTGCTCAGCCCTCTTTTGCTCTGTCCTCCATGGGGGATATGGGCATCTTCCTGCAAGGCTGGGTGGCTCCACTCACCCACGGAGATGTGTCGGGAAGTACCAAACAGGAAGTAGATAAAAACAGGGTAGAAGGAGCTGTAGAGGCCAAACACGGGGGGCAATCCAGCCAGGAGGGCATAGGCCAGACCTGGAGGTGGAACGGTAGCAATGTAGAGTTGGAGGCCGGGCCTTGAAAGAATGAGGGAATCCCAGCACTAGGTCGTAGGCCATAGTTCCAGGGGTAGGGGCCACGGTTTCAGGGATTTTGGAGGGGTGGGGCAGGGGACTTCAAGCCCAGGACCTTGACGGGCCAGGGTCACCACCCAAAAGCTGAGGGTCCAGCCTCTGGGTCAGAGGTGGCTCACCCTGTGGTAGCTGCATAATGGCCACACTCAGGCCAGACAACAAGTCACCCAGGAGCCATTCACGCACGGGGTACCGGGGTAGCCAGGCCAAAACCGGGAGGTGTTGGAGCAGAAGGGCTCGGGCCCGAGCATGGGAACACCTAGGGATATAAGGGCAGGTATGAAGGACATGGGCTACCTAAGTCCTGCCCGTGTCCCCTAGCCCCTCACCCTCTCAGCCTTACTGCAACCAGGTTCGCAACCGACGGGTCCCAGTTGCTGAGCCCCAGCGCCCCAGCTCCTCCAGCTGTTTCTGGTTCAGCAGTGGCCGCTCCACGTGGTAGTCTCGCCTCCTCAGCTCCATTGTCTCTGTCATGGCCAGCAGTACCTGTGTGTCCCTCGGTCTGGGGTGGCGAGATCAGAGACACAGTGAGGGCACCCCTGGCCCAACCTCCCCCACATCTCCTCCTCAGACCACAGTCATCCACCTGCCTTCTCTAGGCCCCAAGATCTGGGTAGGTCCAGCTCCCAGCTGGCCCCTTGGCTCCCATGCCCACACTCAGGCAGGGGCAATATCTGAACTTTGGCTGGTGGAAGCCTCTTGCTAGGCCAAAGTCCCCGACAAGGAGACAGCAGGATGAGCACAGGCCACACCTTCAGCCCAGGTGTGGCTGCCCAGCCCTGAGTGTTCTGTAAGCCAGGTCCCAGGCTGACTGCCCCTCCCAGTCTCCTCCTCTCCCCGTCCCACCCTTTGCTCTTCCCCAGCCAATCCCTGTCCAGTCTGAGTCCTTATCCAGCTGCCCCAGGAGCCCAGTGCTTGCTGTCTGAGAACATACGAAAGGATGGGATCCAGCAAACCAGGGGGCAAGTTTTTCAGGCACACCCCTCTTCAGATGAGCCCCTCTCCTCCAAGGAAGGAAAATATTAGGGTGAAGATTGCCCCTGAGCCTCCAGCCCCAGCGTCCAGGTTGTAAACAAGCTCAGTTCATCTGGGAAAGCCAGGGGATGGCTCTCATCTGGAGAGAAAGGGGTCTCACCTGGAGGGGGAGGCTCCCACCTGGAAAGAGCAGCTCCCACCTGAAGAGGGAGAAGATCTCACCTGAGAATAGGCGATCTCGTGGCAATCTCACCTCAGGGGAAGCTCTTAATCTGACAGGAAAGTTTTCACCAACCAGGTAAATTCTGTCCTAGGGAGAATCTCTGATCTGCCCAGAGGCTCCCACCTGAAGAGGGGGGATGATCTCCCTTGGGAGTAGGAGGTCTGTGGGGGAGGGAGTTCTTATTTGGGGAAAGCTCTCACCTGGGGGAAAGCTGTTCTGGAAGTAGATCTCACCTGGGAAGAGGAGCTCTTAGTGGGGAGCTTTTACCTGGCGGGAAGCTTTCACCAGCTGGGAAAGTTTTCACCTGCCAGTAAAGTTCTGATTCAGAGGGTACTCTCACCTAAGGGAACCTCTGACCTGGGGGAGGCTCCCACCTGGAATGGGAGAAAGCTCTCACCTGGGAATAGATCTTAGACAGGACATCTTACCTGGAGGAAAGCTCTTCCCTGCTGAGAAAGCTTTCAACTGTCAGGCAAGTTCTATCTGTAGGCAGCTCTGACCTAGGATCTCACCCAAGGAGCAGGAACTCACCTGGGAAGGGCCTCTAAACCTGGGTGTCCCGATTGGAAGAGGAAGTGGAGTGGCTGCAAAGAAGATCCTCAGAGACAGGTCATCGCTGTCTCACAGAGAGATCTTTGAGCCCCCTCGCCCCTCCTTCTTGAGTCACTCAGGTCTTCTAAAAGGACTCCTCCACTCCCACCCCGCCCTGGACCCTGTGCTTAGAGGGCGGGACCTAGATCCTTGGCTCCTCCCTCTAGTACAGCACATGGTCAGAACCCGAGCGTTCATTCCCGGATCAGTAAGTAGTACAGCTGGGTGACTCAGACCTCTGTAATGAACTCTCTTGCCGCGCGATCTCCTGACACCAATGGGCCCCACTAGCGCATCTCCTAGCCCGGGGTTCCCCCGTTCGTAGCCGCCGCCCTGCGGCCCACAGCTAGCCCTCAGGCGGCGATCGAGAGGCTTTCCGCACAGAACTCAGGGGCTGGGACCGAGCTGGCTCTCGCCCCCATCCCTCGCTGGTGTTGGGCAGCCGCCAGCAGAAAATTGGCGAAGAGATAAACCGAGGCGTTGCAACCGGAAAATGGCTGCGCCTAACTTGGTGGTACCCCTTCCGAGCCAACTCAAGCCGCACGCCTGAGCGGGGCCCATGGGGTGGCTCGCGCCTCGCGGATACCGGGAACCCGGGCTGCGCCCTGCACTCACCCCGACGTCTCTGACAGCCCCATTGCCGGCCTGCTGCCAGGTGCCCGCTGCTCTAACAGTTCAGGATTGAGGCCGCTACAGGCCAAAAGGCGGGGCTTGGACAGGAGCCAAGCCTGCGGCGTGCACCCAAGAACCAATTCCCAGGCAGGACGGGGAAGGCTTGGGCCAATCAGCGTGCTTGGGCGGGGCCTAAATGACAAGGTGGGCAGGACAAACCCTGTGGAGGAAAATTTAACCCCTTCTTCTCCTGCGGCCTCGCTCCTGCCCCCCCAAGGTGACTCGCCCAGCTCTCCTGCCTGAGCCTGGTGGGACTGCAGAACTGGGACCCGCGGCCCCAGGTCCCTGAGTGGGACGGAGCTGATACCAGGTCTCCTGACTTCTTGCGGAGGTTCCCTGCGGGATGAGCAGGGGAAACCCCCAAGTGGGCAGGATGCCTGGGGCGCGACTAGTGGTCTGAACCTTCTTTGTGTGTCAGGGTATGCGAGTCCATGGGGCCTATTTTGCCTCTGAAGACGCCACCCTCAGGCTCTTCCCGTGAGATCGGGCATGTCTCTGAGACCGAAGATGCCCAAAACCTCTCTTCAACTCTGGACATCCAGACCTGAAATGAGCCTGAGGTTCCCCTCCTCCACACATAGCACAGCCCGGGCATCTTGCCCCAAGGTTTCTGCCTGAGCGGAGCCGCGGGGGAACGCGATATCGCCGCCGGCCCCAAGTCTGAGAGGCTGGTAGGGGTCAGTGCTGTCAACGGTCTGAAGGGTTAGCAAGGACAAAGTTCCTAGGGTTGGTTTGACACCTGGCTAGGGCAAATGCCAGGTTAAAACTGCAGGCCCTGAAGACTTAAGAAGTTGCTGCCTTGACAGGGAGGGGCTTTCCCTTGGGGCCTTACTCCTGGCACCTGCGCTCATACTTCAGGCCCCAATCACAAGGTGATAGGCCAGAATTCAGAGTGAAAGAGATGGGAACCTGGTCCGAATCTCCCATGAAGTGGGCTAAAAATAGCTGGACGTTCTGGGGAGGGTGATGGAGAGACTGCTCAGATTTCTCCCAAAGGTCAGCTTGACTTGAATCATTCATAGCCACCCTCTGACCCCACCAAACAGAAAGAGGCAATAACCATTTTCTATAGAAGTTTATTCCCAAAACAGAGCGCGGCTTCACGGAACAATTTACACAGACAGGAAAGGGGACCACGGGGCTGGAGGGGCAACCCCCAGAGAGGGGCATCTACAGAACCTAGGACATAGCAAGGACAACCCTCTCTCCCCACAGTGGACCCCTCAACCTTTCAAGGGTTGGGGTCATTCTGGGTAAGGAGAGCTGGGGTCCTGGCTGGTGGGATTTGGCACCAGTCAGTAACATGAAACTTTTAATCTCCTTGGAAACTGCCTCCCAAAAGTATGCGTAGGGGAGGGGGTGTCTGCACACCTCCTCCCCCCGTAAATCCTACACCACCACTGTTACCAGTGGTCAGAGGATGCCTTCTGGGTCTGCTGTTCAGCAGGGGACTCAGGGCTGACCTTTGGCCTGGGAGAGCTAGGGGTTAGAAACCCCTCCATATGACCGGGTCCAGGGTCCTCACAGGTGGGTCCTCCAAGCCCCTCTCCCACTGTCTCTACTTTTCACTTGTAAACAAAGGGGGGGAAAAACATTCTCAACTGTAAACAAAGTGTAAAAATTCAAAGTTTTAAGTTGTAAACAAAGTTTTAAAATGTTGTAAATCTTGAACTGTAAACAAAGTAACAATAAAAGTCCCCAGTTCTGGACATCAGACAAATAAAAGAGTTTTGTGAACAGGGTCTTAACAGTCTTTTTTCCCTTTAGAAGAGAATAAAGGAGAGGTGGAGCTGCGTCATTTCCTGCAGCCCAGGTGCCTAGGACCAGGGAGGTTCCTGTAAACTTGGGAGGCAGTGGCACCTACATTCTGCATCTTGTTTCTGCTCCCTGGCTCTCCCTCCTACCCCACCCTTCAGAATAAATTCTAGCCAGGGGCAGTGTCAGGGGATCGAATGGCACTACAGACAACTTTTGCTCACAGCAGGGGCTGGGGCTGAAAAAAGACCCCTGGGTCCACCCTCTGCAGGGAATGTCTGGTTAGAGGCCCAGCCTCTCCCCCGGGGAGAAAGGGAAGCCTTGCTCTGTAAACATGACATCTGCTGCTCCACCAGCACCCACAGCATCAGTCCTAGGTCATAAGGCAGTAAGTGGCAAGGACTCCGCATAATAAACATCCATGTCCATGGGGAGGGGCAGCATGAGTGAGCCCCTGTGAGGAGGTCAGAGGACCCCCCCTTTCCAAGACCACGCCCCAGTCCCAGAAGTTTGGCCCTTGGGGCATCCAAGAAAAAGCAAAGATCAATTCTGTACTTTGGGCCCTGACAATATTTAGATCAACCTGGAGGCAGAGGGCATTTGCCTGAATCTACCCCAGTAAGATGAGACAAAAGAGCAAATGGTTTGCCAGGGACCCAAAAGGGGCCAAACTCTGCACCTCCTTCCCTCTGTCCCCCTCCCTCTCCCAGCCCAGTCTCAGAACCCCGGGCGACAGAAAAGCTGAAAAATAACATAAGCATATCTCTCTGGTTACAAAGGTACAAAACGTATAAAAGTCCTCCCTTCAGTTCCCTCGCCCTGCATGCCTGTTCCACACGTGCTCACGCTCACAGACGAGCATGGAACCTCAGCACTGCAGCAACAGGGCGAGCTGGGGGCTGCCTTGGGATCAGCCCGACCCCTGGAGTCTCCTTCTGTTGGCCCAAATCCTCCATCACCCTCGGCTGTTCCTCAGCTGTCCGTCTGTCCCTCAGGAGTGACCCTCACTTCTGGGAACTCTGCAGAGTTGAGTGAGGACATCAAAGGCAGTTGCTGAGAGGAGACTGAGTCAGGTGGCTCTGGACTCCCCCCATCTCGCCTCACCTCCGCCCGCTTCCCCCCACCTCTCCCATCACCTTTGCCTCTCAGTCCCGAGCTCCCTTATGCTCATTCTGGACCCCCAGACCATCAGCAAGGCCCCTTGGCAGGCCACCTATGTCTTTTCTCTAAGCACTTAGCAAGCATCTACTATGTATAGACATCACATTAAGCACCCTAAGATTTTGTCTCAAAAATCTCCACATCTGAGTCTGTTACTACAGACATATTTTGCAAATGAGGAAATTGAGGCTCAGAGAGGTGAAGTGTGACTCCAGAGCCTGAACCTTTGCTCAGTGCCCCCCAGCTTCTCCTTGCCCTCCCCCCAAGAGCCAGACACCAAGGTTAGGCTGCAAGAGGATCCAGGTGCTTGGTGCTCACAGCTCCCGCTCATCCTCACCCCTACCATCTTTCCAGAGCTCTGGGCACCAGGCCCCCAAATCCTTTGCCCCTCTCCTTCCTTTCTCTTCCCTCAACTCTGCTCAGATTCTGCTGGTCTCCTGCCCCACTCCCAGGGTCCCCCTCCCCCCAAAGATTTCTCACTCTACAGACCTCCACAGAGCCTGACCTAGCTATTCCTCCCCCTTGAAACTAAACTCTTCTTTTGGCCTCCAAGATCTGGCAATTCCTGGTTCCTCCCCGCTCCCTCTCTGACTCCTGTGTAACCAGCTGCTTCCTGGGAATGTCTGTCATCCCCTACCCCACAGATGCCTGACAGGCACCTGAGATGCACCAGGTCCCAACTCAATTCCTGTGTGCCCAATGCCAGTGCCCACAGGCGGGAGGAACTTAATAGTGAATGAATGAATGAATGAATGAATGAATGGTCTACCATCAGAGTTAGGTCCTCAGACTGGAATATAAGGCACCCATATCCTGGCACTACTTCCGACCCCTCCTTATCCTATACTTACCCCCTAAACACAGCCTCCTGCCCCTCTCCTTCCTGTCCCTCTTGCTTGGTTCCTGCCCTCCCCCCCTCCACTAGCTTAAGTCCTTTTGGAAGGTACCCACCTTTCCTCCTTAGCCCAGGAAGTACAGGAGAGGGTGGCTGGGCCCAATCATACAGGCAGCAAGTCCATCTTAATCACAGTCCTACTTCCTACCAGATTTATGCCCTCGGCCTATAGCCCTCTTACTGTGCTGAGCCTGGGGGAGCCCACACTGTCTGCCAACCCACACCCCATTCTGTGGCAGAACACAGAGCAGAGTGCACAGGAGGCTGCCCTAAGCTGATGAGGGTGTGAACAGGTGGCTGGACTCTGCTTACTCTGAGTCGGGCGACAGCTCCGAGATGCTGTGGGACGTGGCAGAGCGTGGTGTTGAGGGGCCAAGTGCAGAGGCTGTGGCAGAAGGCGTGGCAGTGGTGTGAGGGCCCGAAGGCGTGCTTGAGGACTGCACAGAGGAGAGAGCCGAGGAATTGAAGGAGGCAAGGATAGAGGAGAGAATGTCCAGCTGCTCTGTGGAGGGGCCATGGCTAGGACCACTGGCTGGGTCCTCCCGAACTCTGAGCAGCTGCGGGGATGGCCCAAGGCCTTCTCGAGAGGGATGCCGGCTAGGCACGTGGTCCAGCCGCTCCCCTGAGTTCGATCTCCTGGACAGAGAGTCCAGGGGCCGGGATGGCAAGAGGGGGTCCCTTGAGAGTTGCTGCTGGGGAGACAGGGGCAGAGGTGGGGGCTGAAGGTCAAGGTCCCGGACACTGTGGGGTGGAGGGAGTGTGCTTAACCACTCGCAGGGTGCCCCTAGGTCCAGTGCATCTCGTGACCTAAAGCGGCCGGCCAAGTTGCCAGGGTAGTCCCTGGGTGGCTGCCTCCGTGGTAGGGTGCTGCCCCGATCCCTGGGCTCCAGGCGGCCTGGCACAGCATCCAGGTGTTCCTGGGAACCTGGCCGACTTAGGGGACGCAGAATAGGGGCAGGGGCCTCCTCCAGTTGCTCACGGCTCAGTTGTCGCCGGAGAAGCAGGTCCAGCTGTTCACGGGAGGAGTAGCGGCTAGCTGGCTGCGAAAGGCTGCCTGTGCCCCCTCCAGCATAGATGCGACCATAGGAGGCAGCTGGCACAGCACGGTGACCCAAAGTGGCT